AAAAAATACCTTCTCCATTTAATCATACTAAATCAAAAGCACTTTAATCATTCCACACAGAGAACATAACTAAACCTTAGATCTTCAGTTAGTTCATCGGTATGAACAACGCTGCAACAGGAGTTACAACATACAAAAGGGCAGGGCAGTTCCACAGATATATCTTGCTTTGAGACAAATTTTCAAGTGTCCATTTTCTTGAGGTAATTCTTAACTTTCTATGATTTCAATAAATTTATTTTATTTAACCAATTATGAGAATTACTAGATTCACAGTAAATGGACTGAACACTTACATAAGCAGCCATCCGAGCTCATTTGTTACTCATCTTTGCATGGAGTTCAATAATCAGTTGTTCTTCTTCTTGAGTAAATGCTCCTTTCTTCAAGTTCGGCCTCAAGTGATTTGCCCAATGCAAGCGACAACTTTTTCCACAACGAAATAGTCCAGAGTGCTTCTGAATAGAATTCCAGTTGCCTTCCCCATGTTTCTTCACATAGTCGATCAAAATTGCATCTTCGGAAGATGTCCATGGACCTTTCTTCAATGCAACTCCCCCATCTGTAGCTGCTTCAAAGTCGCCATCATCAATTAACGGCGAAACCGTGTGATCTTTAGAGAACATTCCGTTTCCCCTCTCATTTTTTGTGTGACCCTCTCTTTGCAATCACACACCAAAGATTACTAACAGGTAACCGTCCAAAACCTAAAACCAGAAAAAAGATTGAAAAGTCTAGAATTAAAGCAAATTGAACAATAAAAAAAAGCCCATTTTTTTCCAATACACACTTTTTTTGCATCAAAAAGAACTACAAGGCGATCAACAACACTCCTTTATTTGAATGTTAATATAAGAATTGAGAAAGCATACATAAACACATTAAATCGATAAAATGAAGCAAAAGTCGCCAAGATAATATAAGTGCAACTCTTTATAGATAACAAATTTCTAAATGACAAGAACTCATTAGATAAAGAAAGATTAAAATCAATTAATCGGAAACGAAATCACCCACAAATAAAATCCAGCACACAGATTGAATACCAATTCTATCCCGAAAAGGGAAAATCATTCCATTCTTTGGAACTTAAATTAAACCCTTTTGGCCTACATGGAAAGAAGAACATATCAGAATAGAACAATTCCCAGAAATGATAAAATAAATAAATAAACTCGGTAAAAAAGAGGAGTAAAATCCATATTGCATTTACTGCACTGTAGTTCTCTCACAAAAAACTCCAACCAATCCATCAGTAATAAATGATTTTGCTTATGGGTGACTTAGCCTCAAAGCTTAGTTATCATTTTATTGATGCTCATATATGCTTTCAATAAACACGGTCAATGAATATATTGATTTGCAATTGAAACTGATTAGCAAAAAAAGTTAAAATTAAAAACGAAATTTACGTTATATTAATCCGAATCTAACAATTTCATTCAAGAGGCACATAAAAAGAAATCAAAAGAAAAGCAGTAGCTCAATTACCATGGCTTAACGAACTTTTCTGGGAGAAGCTTCCAAAAAATAAAATTCTCCGAACTAGTTTAATTACGGTTCATGATTGAAGCGAGCGCCAAGACAAAAGCGGCAATGGAAAACCTGAAATTCAACCCCCAAGAGGATCATAATTATAGTGAATTCGTGACCTAGAAACAACAATAGAATAAGAGCAAACAGTGGATAAAATTTCCTTTTCTAACCGTAATTTCTGAGCTACAAGAATCAGGAGCCGAAAGAGCAAAACATTGAAACTACCGAATAAGCAATCACATAAAGGAAAGCTCTCAGTAAGCTTTCACTTCAACGAAGATAGAAAGTCGTTTTATCATTCCCAGCGTGACGCACTAGATACAGCTGCAGAGACATGAATCAAATCTTTTGTCTCCCTTCTTTCAAGGGAAGAAGGTTGCCCATATTCTATATCTTGATTCGGAAAGATCACTTTCAGAACGGATGTGCGAGAAGTTTAATTATGAAGCTATGCTGATATCTATCTAAGAGTCAGGGGCAGACCTTACCGCATTTCCAATCCACAAGCAAAGCATTGAATGAACACAAAAAAGAGTGGGAATGTGCTCCTAGACTATATTGAGGGTTTAATAGAGAGTATGCCTTAGTATTATGAGAGAATTATTTTAGAGAAGTGATACTTTTTAGGATATATGTAACTCTTGGAATTTAGGTTACAGAGAGTTTTATACGGATATTTGAAAACTGTTTTAGAATATTTCGGGTTTTGATATGGATATAAAATTTTAGCATACTTGAGATATCATGTATTTGTATATTTTATGATCACTATGATTATAGTATATTATTATTATTCTCAACCGTAGAGCTAGGTAAAGTTGAACTATATTGAATCTTACCTCTTACGCGTCTTATATTATGTTGATTTTACTTTGATATACTTTTTTTTTGTTATAAATTCCTAACAAAACAAAATAAAACAAAACCTTTGTCAACTGTAGGTTTATATTGATATTATTGAAACTGATGAAAAAAATTGATTGGAACTTTTACCAATCACTTCTGGATACATCCGATTCCAATCCCGAAGCTGTGAATAAATATCGGAACACGACGGTAGCTTACATTGATCCAATCAGCGTTACGCCACTTATGAGGGCAACACTCAACCCAGCTCTCAGTATTGGATCTCCTACTCCCGTGGTTATTTGGCTGTCCAAATTAAATGGTAATATTGTTGCTTTGCATGCACTAGTAAAGGTGGTTTAATAAAAGTCTTGGCGTTCGTCTTGATTGTATTATGGTGCTATCTAAGGTGAAGTTTTAGCTTTTTTAGTGCTATAATCTTTTATCTTTTAATTGAATAATAAAATGAGTTTATAAGAAAGAAAAAGCCAAAAAGTTCAACGGCTATAGCAAGGCTTCAATATGGACACAAGGGGTGGGTAAGATAGTTGTCTCCTAAAAATTTCAAATTCACATATATATAATAAATATTTTCTGTGTTTTTGATTGAAAATATACGGTAGTCCCCTACAATTTTAAAAATTCGACATTCCTTTTGAATTTTATAAATTCATCCTATTTAATATAAAATTATATGTTCGTCCATAATGCGATGACAAACAACAATCGAAAGTACGCTATCAAATTCAATTATCAAACACAAGGTATATATTTTTTTTAATAAAAGCGTGTGGCAAATTGATTGCAACTCGGTCTCATACGAATCAATAACATCCAACGGAATTGAAAAAATAGCTTCTTCTTTTTTTATTTCCAATCTCCTTTTGAATTATATGTTTTTCTTTTTTTTTCCAAAATTATTGAAAAAGCTTCTTATTATAAAAAGTACAAATAAAATAAGCTCAAAATAAATCAATAAACAAGTATTGGATGTCATAATTTTCGTTGACAAAAAACCACCAACATCATGATCATTTCTACCTTAGAGTTGATCATCTCCTTAAACCATCATTATCATATTCATCTTTAACCCATCTTTGCTGAATCCATCAATAAACTTTTTGAAAACTCATTGGTACTAATATGTAAACTTAGGATTTCTTTTTGGGTTTAGTTTAGGGGCTTATTGGTTTTGAATATCTTCGCTGAATCCATCAATAAACTTTTTGAAAACTCATTGGTACTGATATGTAAACTTAGGATTTCTTTTTGGGTTTGGTTTAGGGGCTTATTGGTTTTGATGTAATTTTTAAGGTGTTTTTGTGATGGATGTAATGAAAGTTTATGTGGATTTGAAAATTTCATATCAATTTTTGTAATTAGTGAAAATAGGTTAAAGATAAAAAACGTGACAATGTAATTAGTGAAACTAGAAATTTATTGAAGTGAGAGTCTAACAAAATAGAGCGAGTACAATAATATCAACTGATCAAATATCACATTATAATATCTAATTTTCTTCAGTTGAGGGGGCCAATAAAACTTATTTTATTTATTACCCAAATATATATATATATATATATATATATATATATATATATATTCAATATTAATAAACCTTAAAAAATAGTTGACAAGGGATCAGGCAACTGGTGGCCCCTGCGAAGTTCCGCCTTTACTTGGATGGTGATGAATCGAACAAAAATCATAGAGGAATAAAGAGTGAGAGACTTACAAACTCGTTTAGGTGAATGGAATTTGAACAAAAGGAAAAGAGGGAAAAATAAGTAGAACTCGGTATTCAAATACCTTAATCCTAGGGTTACCTATGTAGTTAGACTCTCCACTTTCAGGAATTAGTAAACATGCTAAAAAAATGTCGAAATTCTAATTCAACCCTTACACTTTAGAGGCTTTAAACAACCCTCGTTTTACAGCGTGACATGACTTTAGTGGCGAGACTATTCAAATAACCTTAAATGGATACTTGATGTTTAATGAGATCAATTATCACCCCTATTATATCATATCACTTGATTGCTTAGTGAAATCGAGAGATCTTGTTGTACTTCCTTGTGGCTGTGATTGAATGTTGGCATTATCAATTATTGTTTGATGTTAGGTGAAACTAAATAATTATCGTTATTGATTCAATTTCATAATTTGGCCCTAAGACCAAGGACTAGGGTAATCATGGGACTATTATTATTAAACAATTTCTAATTGATTGAACATAAGCATGATATATCTTGCAATATTAGATCAGTACTATACTATGAAGCTTATAAAGCTTAGTGTTCAGATGTTTCCTTTCGTAGGTTAGTAGATTAGAGTAGTTCGTGGAGCACCATCAGTACGGAATTTCTAGCATCCATAACAGAGTACAATTTACAAGTATTTTAGAGGATATATATGTTTATAAGATCTGTATTGTATATGTATCTGGTCTATAACTCTATTTATATTTTGAACTTATTTTTTATTTATTCTTTGCATAACCGAGCCCTAATTTTGTATAACACTGAGATTCATATACCAATACTTATTCACAAGATCTAACAAACACAACGATCATCTATTCCCGAACTGAGCTCGTGCGTAAGTAAAGAAACATGTTCTCGAACTCAATCTTACTTGGATTTTAAAACACTTAGATTCATCGTTTGTATTGTTATACCATACTTATTCACAAGATCTAACAAAACATTGAAAGAGAGCTGGCGCACAAAGATCATCTTTCGTGGAACCAGGCTCGTGTATGTATGTACAGAAACATGCTCCTTTATGTTGTCACCGAACTTGCAGTTGCCTCAGATTGTTTCTCTTCAAGTTGAGTTTTGAGGAATGCAAGCACGGAAAGACGCTGCAAGTGAAAACACAATGAGAAAGAAATCACACAGAACATAGATATATTAGCTTCAAAGCTGTGCGACCTTACCCGGGGTTCAAGACCTGCTTCTTCGGATTTCAGGGACAACGATTCTAACAACTTTATGGCTTCTTCAAATCCATCAACAGCCTCATCCTCTTTTCCCAGTGTTCTTTCCACATCTGCAACTTTAGCCAGGGAGATGGCTACATCCAGAATCTGGTATAAGATAAAAACAATGCTACATCACATTCCAATACCTCCAAATGCGTCTTTTCTTTATTCCAACACTACAATTTTCTTCAAGTATCTTTTTCTAATACGAGTACAAGAATATGACCCTTCAAGGAACCTCCATATACATGAAAAAGCTCAGGAAAAAAAAAGATCCATGTCAGACATATACCCATATCTGAGCAACATATTAACATCTCATTAGAAAAGCATCAGTGTTTCTCCGGTGCTACCACACAAGTACACAGACACTGTGAATGTTAACATCAGGATAACCGAAACAGAAAGGGGGAAAATACACATGAAGGAAAAAAAAAACAAGTTGCTAACCTCAGAAGCAACACCGGGATGATTCTTGACAACATCACGTCGGATGCCTAATGATCGCAAATAGTAAGACCTCGCACCTTGCAGATCTCCATTGTAATACTTAAGATCTCCAATTTTATTAAGTGAAACAGACAGAGTATGTGTTATCTGCAGAATGTCAAAAATTGATCATGGTGGCATCATTATGAAAAAATGGATAGGGCAGTTATCAGAATCAAAATTTAAGGTGCAACAAACCTCTAGATGATTTGCTGGCAATTTTGTAAGAAACTCGACACTCTCCTCAAAGTAATTGATTGCAGCAGCAGAATCACCCATTGCTCGACTGCAAGAAAATTGAATGCTTAGTATTCAAACAATAGCATTACAAAGTATGAACACGTCTTTATCAGTTGTATTGTTGCTTTGCCTTAAAATAAGTTCACATCAGGCTATTTCAGTGATTATTCTCCAAATAATTGTTGAATCATGGCCCATATGAAACACGTGACATATAGAAGAAAAATGCAGCATTGCCGTCCAAGAATCAATTGCAAAAAGGCATAGCAGCTTGGATTCTCAGTGACAAATTCCTAATTACAATTAATCTTTGACCCTTGGAAACAAACTGATGCCTATTATCCTTTAACAATCTCAAGATCTAACATAGTCACAAATTACGCAAAGTTTACTCAGCCTGAAAAACTAAAAGTAACTTTTGAAATAGAAATGAACTAAACTAATCCATCACTTATATGATAAGATCGTGTGTTTTGGATGTATAGTTCAACTCGTCGAAATGAGACTGAAAACATAGTACTCGTTCAAGAAAGACCCAAATCTTTTGTTTTCCTTTCCCAAACATTTTCAGCCACAAATGTAGAGTCATAACTGCATGTGCATTTTCCACCACCGTATGCATATATTTACAACCTTTATAAACCATAAGACTAAAACCATAGGACTCGTTCAAGAAACACCATAGGTCTTTTGTTTTTTGCAGTCGTGCCATGATCTTTTGTCACGATTTAAAATCTCGTTTTACTTTCCTTTCCCTAGTTTCCCCCCAAATTGGGGTACTAAAAAATATAACTTTCCCTTACTTTACCTAGCCTAAATTAAAAATTCTATCCAAACAAAAGAAAGGATGATCTTTTCCCTTATTTCCCTTTCCTTCTCCTTCTCCCTTTCCCACTCCAATCCAAATCATAGGGTTAGGAGAAATTTCTTTAATTTCAACACAGCATCATTATCAAGTTTGTTTTTATCCAAAACAGTACTAAAATAAAAGCATCCTGTAAGTACAAATAAATGAAAAAATTATGGGCTTAACAAAGCATTCCCTAGAGATTCCAAATTATCAAAGAGCTCAAGCATGGATAGGAATATATATTATATGAGTTTACATCAAGCCTTGCCATTTAGAATGAAAATCACAGTTTCAAATCACATTAGCATGGCTCTAACAGCTTGAAAAGTCATACATGCATTTAGTAACAAATACTTTATATAAGCATTAAACACTTATTAAACCTAATTGAGCTCGTCTCCCGAAATAAAATATCTCTAGTCTAAGCAGACCAACATCAACATGATTGAGCATGGCATGCATCATACAGGCATCAGCTCACATATATAGCAGGGTAAATTTGGGAACATACCAACAATCACCAAGCATACCCAGAACTGCCCCAAGTTGTGAGTAAAGCTCTGAAGAATCATCCGTTTTCTCTAATTGGTCTTGGATGTCTTCGGCACACATAGTGAGTCTAGATTTAGCACTTCTAAAATTCTGAGCACGAAAAGCCTTTACAAAGCAAACAGAGACTATTTTCACATAACAAAGTATGAAATTACTCGCCTTACTAGAAACAAGGAAATAAAGCAAAGAGAAAAGGCTTACCCTCATAGCCTGTTGCACCAAGAAAGCACCTCTGTCCAACGAGACATCCTCATATATAACCTTTTTATCCTCATTCACAACCTGCTTTCCTTCTCCATTGGCATCAACATGAGGCCTCTTGATCCTCGCATGCCCTTTAATAAATCGATCAACCATGCTTTGAAGATTTGTGTCAGCTTCCAATTTTTCTATATCAGCTCCACATAACGGACAATCCTTAAACCGAGATATACACACTCTAAAAAGAATAAAAATATACATCATTAGAGAAAGAAAAATGAAATACATTATATCATTAAACAAATCACATATAATGGGTAGAGGAATTAACATAATAAACAGCCAAAGAAATCAAATAAGAAAACCCATCAAGGAATTATCATAAAGAAGCAAAATAAGCAATAAATAAGATCTATTAAAGAATTATAACCACGAATAGCCAGGGGGGAGAGAAATAAGAAATCCCAAAATTTATAGATGAAGAAACAAAGGGATAATCGATAATTACTGGCAAAAGAGGTGAGAACAAGGGATACATTTGGTGGAGTCAAAGAGAAGAGCATGGCAGATCATACAACTGAGAGGACCAAGCTTGAAGTTGCTGGAATCGTAACCAAAGGGACATTTCGGAGACACGGTGGCAGTTTCAACGGGGTCTTTTCTCGCCGCCGCTGCTTCGCTGACACCAGCGGAGGCGTTTTTGGCTGGACAAGCGTCGTCCGGTCGAGCCGCTTTCACGAATGGGCAAACCGGGGTGGTCATCTTCTTTCTATAAAAGGAAACAACCAAAATCAGAGGGGATATATGTATTTGGGAATTGGTCAAAAACAAAGTCGTCTCCAACCTTTAGTTCGTTTCTGTGGCTAAATACCTTATCGGTTCGCGTTTTATTCTTCAAACGCTATCCTCTTGGTAACAATAAACCATATATAATTGATTAATAGTATAATGCCAAAATTAATCCCTAATATTTATTAAAATAATCATTTTGGCTCCTATTCATATGATTAAGTAGTCACTTTAATCTTTATTCCATAATTTTGAAGTATTTTGCCCTCCAATATTTTATTTTAGGGTAAAAAATCTTTATTTTAGAGCATTAATCATTTATTAACTAATAGTTTCTATCTTGGAAGGACTTTTTTGTCCTGAAACGTTATGAGCTAAAATGCTTCGGAAAAAAAAATAATGAGCAATATGACCATTTTGATAAATATTAGGGACTAATTTTGGTATTATGCCTTGATTAATTAATTAGTAAACAACACCAAATACCCTTGAACTTTAGTTTTAGTGTCGATATTACCATAAAACTTTAAATTGATTCAATTGTAGCATTGAACTTTAGTTTGGCTTCAATTATAGCATTGAGTTGGTAATTCATTAACAATCTAATGACAAGACAATTTCATATTGGCATGGTACTTACGTTTTACTGATATGAAATATATTTTGTTTCACCTTATCATCAATTTTTTCACCCATTTTTAGTCGTTGTCAAAATTTGTCAATCTACAACTCTTTTGTGATAATCCTAGATATTAATCAACTCGTCTAATCTTTTTTTATCACTTTTTCGATTTCGATTTCTCAAAACCTCTTAAACATTTATGAAATTAAATCAAAAAAATATCATTTTTAGAAGTACAGGGACTTTCTCAAATTCGAGGAGTTTGAGAGATTGTTTAAAAATCCAAATGATGAGAAATATTCTTTCAAAAAGAAGAACATATCTTGAAATTATAATCATCAAACGATCATCGGAAGAGATTAAAATATTAAAACATTTAATATTTATATAATTTTTATCGATTTTGATTAAATTTCATAAAAAAAAATCAATCCAATGAGAAGAGAAATGATTGAAATATGAATGTTTTGTTATTGATCTTACCGTAAATAACGGCCAATGATGAGCAGAGATTAACTACCAGAAAAATACGGCATTGAAAACGAGATGGGGAAACATAAGCAAATACACAAGTTCATTTCATTGCCATTACAATACTCAAAACATATCATCAACATGAATCTATATTAAAAGTAGGTTAGCATATGCCAAACTTGGTACAATGAACACATTCTTTTTGGTACTGCAATGGCACGCAACAAAATGCACACAACAGGGTGATATGCAAACGTTGAAGGCCAGACCGAGCACGAGAATAAGGTGCACACAAAGGAACAATGTATCGGAAATACAATTTCGAATTAAGGTGATAAGAAACTAATGTATGCTTCAAAATGGTCTGGGGGGAAAAAATAAACCTACCGACCTTGAGGACTTTCCATTTTCTTCTTTATGCTATCAACAAGTACAAAGAATATGTGGATGTTAATGTACAAAAGCATCAACAACTTCATAACTAGAGTTATTTTACTTTTCCTTGCCTATTTTTTTCTTGGGACACACAAACACGATCCATCTCCAAAACATAAAAGCCCCAAAATGATTTTACGTTATATCTTGCGAAAGAATGATGTGCTAGATGCGAAATCGCCATTGCCCTACCATATCAATGTCGGTATCCAACATTCTTATGCACTTCGGAAAAACCCTTTGAAACGTTCCGTAACACTTTCGGTATAGCAAACTATACAATACCACCATAACTGCTTTCAAACAATTTCGCCCGCCAACCTCAGAAAAGAGTCTGCTCTTTGCCTCAGGCAAGAAAAACCAACACAACCCGGCAAAAAGATGCTTCACTTCCCACATTCATACTATCTGATGAACTTCTTTAGCAGGAAAAAGGGTTACTTAAGAAACCAAAGTTTTATCTATTTGAGACGGAATTCGTGCCTGAATACAGTTAGGTTCTGGGTGAATTTGTCTCTGTTCTTTGAATCTAGGCTTCGAGTAACATCTTGCATAAGCTTGTCAAAACAAGCGGAGCACCTCTGATGTTGATCCACGGGCTGCAAAATGATGAATGTATCACGAGATGGACACTAAAGAAGAGAAGAAAAATGGGGAAGATAATGATAGAGAGATGCTGTTCTGTCAGCTAAATAGCAGAAAGCTTACATGATTTTTAAGATTCTAAAGGCGCAACAAGAAGTGCTCAGCAACAAATTCAGTTAGAGACTTTCACTGGTTTCCTGGTGTCAGCAAGTACATAGCAAAAACTTGACGTTGGAGTTGCATTAGAAGCCTCAAACACAATTTAACAAGCACAGAAGTGAGGGGAAACAAACAAAAAAATCTTAACTCGTTATAAAAAAGATTAAAAAGAACTTAGAAAATACCATGAACAAAAAACAATGGTAGCAACTAAAGGGGAAGGAATACATAAGGGATTTCAAACTGTTCTGCTTTTATGTTGGATTTAACATTTCCCCTTCAATCGTGGTAGTCAAATGGGAAAGGCGCCGCACAAGGACAGGATACAACGTGGTCAAAAGTGCTCCCACTTGAGAGAAGAGATCGACTAAAACTAAGTAAATACTTTGGAAACCAATAGAAAATAAGGGTCTAATATTATCGAATATCCATCTTTTTAATATTCATTGTCATCCCCCAATATAGGTTGAACAAGTTTCAGGCAGATATTGATTTTTTGAAATGAAGATCCAGACGACGAGCTACACAATAAACCAGTCAAACAGGTTTTCTTGTCAGCTAATGAAAACACTGTCCATTGCAAATTTTTTTAACCTTTTTATTCACATTGATAATGCTAAAAGTTTATACAAGATCAAGGATTTATGTCATATGTAATGAGAATGCTAACAGAATTTTGTTTGAATTTTCATGTTTGGTTTCGGATCTCATGGTAAAGTTCAGTGATGTTGTTCAAAGTATACAACTATCAGAAAAAATAACTATCTGGCGGACAAAAATTGAAAGTGGATTGCAGAGAAATTTAAGTAAAGAATTTGCAAATTATTACCTGCTCACTGATAAGAATTAAGCTCAACATAGGCCTGCTAAGACTCCATTGGTTGCCACAATCCTCAAACAAAACTATCTCGAATAGGGTCTTCAATATCTGTAATAAAGGATCACAAAATAACTGGACTGTCCAAAAGGAAAGACTGGAATAGAAACCATCACATTTGGTTCAAGACAACAAGAATCAATGTACAAAGGTACCTTAATTCTCATACGAAAATGTTAATGGTTCGAATCATAAAGCAAGATTGAAAACTTATAACCAAGGAAGTTAATCTTTTGAGTTCAACTTTCAAATAATAATTCAGGACTATATGTGCTATGTCAGCAGAAGTTTAACGCTTATGAAAGATATTTTGTTCATAGTTTTTGTTTTCTAATCAAAATCTTTATTATTTTTCAGTTCATAGTTCATACAGCAGACCTAGTAATCCACAAGATATTTTTCAGCTCTGTAAAATGTCTGTTAGGGAACTCATATGTTAACCGGATTTACCCTCTTGTGTAAGATGCAATTATTCTTTGAATAAAAATATTTTTAGAATCAAAAACCTTGTTTACCAGAGTCGGAGAACTCTATTTACCAGACTCGGAAAAATCTGTTTACCAGAGCTGAAAAACTGCATTTACCAGACGCGGAAAACTCCGTTTACCAGAGCCAAAAAAACTCTATTTAAGATATAAATACATTAAATAAAATAGCTCAGGTTAATATACTTATTTTCCGAAATGGGAAATAAGGGTAAACATATAAGTTCCCTAACAGACATTTTACCTGATGTTGTATAAGCTGTTGCTTAAGGAAATTTAGGAAACCAAAGCTTTTGGTTATATAGTTACTTACACGGTACTTTAGACACATACAACAAGCCCAATTAGCGAATTTAGTTTAGGGTTAACATGGAATAATTACTAATTGGGCAATTGGGCTTTTAAAAGCACCCTTATTTTAACGAGACTTATCAACGTGGGTTACGAGGCTTTTGTATGTATGTAAAGCACCTTAAGGAGTTCCACGTTTCTATTCTTGAATATATGCCAGATTATTTCAATTATTTAAGGTATAAATAATTAAATAAAATAGCTCAGGTTAATATACTCATTTTCTGAAATGGGAAATAAAGGTTAACATATAAGTTCCCTAATAATAGGGGTGTATTCGGTTCGGTTCGGTTTTTACCAAAAATTGAACCGAATCGAAATAAACGGTTTTTCAAAATTTAAACCGAAACCGAATGGTTAAAAAACTGAATCCGGTTTTTTCGGTTCGGTTCGATTTTTTAAACGGTTCGGGTTTTTCGGTTCGGTTCAGTTTATCGATTTTTCAATGAAAAAATAACTTGAAACTATAAAAAAATTTAAAAAATTGTCTATTCGGTTCAATATGAAACAAATGAGTTCCATATAGAAAATGCGAACCGAATCAAAAGAATGAAGACTTTAAACCAAACGGTATAATGCCAAACCGAACCGAACCGTTTTATTCGATTCGTGTCGATTTTTCAATTTTATCGATTTCGTTGCTCAGCCCTACCTAACAGACATTTTACCTTACTTTGTATAAGCTGTTAAGGAAATTTAGGAAACCAAAGCTTTTGGTTATATAGTTACTTACATGGTACTTTAGACACATACAACAAGCCCAATTAGCGAATTTGGTTTAGGATTTACCCATTTTTTACGCATGATATATATTTTTTTTGGTAAAATTATGTTTTAGTACCTATTTTTTAACTGTGTTTTTACACTTTGATCATGTGTAGTGATTTTTTAATTTTTATTAAATATTAATGGATTGATTTTGTATTTTACCCTTTTTTAAATTTAACAGTTTTTAGACTTAAATAAATTGGAAAATTGTCATTAGGTCCCTTTAATTCCAGCATGTTTTTACATTTTAATCCCTAAATCTATTTTTTATTATATTTCGAATTAGCCTTTAAATTTTAATTTATTTTAATTTAACCATTGTTTATTCCTGATTTAGCTACTAACTTTTATTTTCTTGCATTTTAGTCATTGTTATTTTATATTTATGCAATTAGTTCTTTTAATTTATGTTTATTTTAAGTTTATTTATTTATTGTTTTTTTTACTATTTTTTTATTATTGTACTTTTTTATTTTATTTTAATTAAGTTTGTTATTAATTGTTTTGTTTCATGGTTTATTTTCTTATATTTAATTCTAAATTAGATTAACATTCGAATCAAACTTAGAAATTAGGACGACACTCTAGTTTAATTAGGGAGCAATTCGAACTGAGTTTTCGCATAAGATGTCCGATTACTCGAATCGATTGCTCTATTTTAAAACTTATCAATAATTAATATTTTCTAAAAAAAATAATTTAGGTTTAATAATTTAGATAATAATTAGGTTTTAATATTAGTCCTCATCTTTAAAAATTATCGATTTAGGCCCTAAGCTCTTATATCTTTTAGAAATCGGTATTTTTAAATCTTAACCCTTTTAGTCCCCGAATTTCGATTAGTATTTTAATTTTGACATAATTACATAGGTTAAATAGATCCTTCATTTTAGCTAGATTTCAAACTAGTCTTTTAATTTAAGGAATAATTCGAGTTGGCCCTCGTCAATTGCAATAAACAAAAGCAATGAAAGAACTGAATATCTATGGACAGTAAACAAAAAAATTCGTAAGAAAATGACAGTGTGCCTGTTAATTGATGTTGATAATAGTTGTTACTTAAGGAAATTTAGGAAACCAAAGCTTTTGGTTATATAAGCCCTCAAGCTTCCTCTGTTCGTATATATATCGATGATAGAGCTTCCTCTCTTTATACATATATCGATGATATGGTTTCGGGTAATGAGATTAGTTTAAGGATTTGAGGTTTATTTTTGTTTATACTAGTCCCTCATTTTATATATATTAATGTACAATTGAATGTAATAATGTATATTATATATATGTACAATTTAGGTATATATAATATATTGATGGATGTATGTAGTATGTATATTATATATATGTATGTAGTATATATAATATACTAGTCTCTTCGTATATATTAATGTGCTATATATAGTATATTGATGCATGTATGTAGTATGTACCTATGAGATTCAAAATTTATACTTTATAGTTGCATACATACATGTATTGATGCACGTATGTACGCATGATATTCAAAATTACCAACTTAGGAAATACGATTAAAATCTGAGTTCCTTAAAAAACTAATTTTAATAAACAAAAGCATCACTAAATTAAGAATATACATTCATTCCATAAGAATGTAATATAATAAAAAAAGTCAATGGAAGAACTGAATCAACTGTTTTTTATATCCAGTGGCCATACCTTTTAAGAATCTTCTGTCGTCTCTTAATTTCCGTAGGTATTGTATTACTTGGAGATAAACTGCCACGATGAAGTCTGGCCACCAGATCAGGTTGTTGTGGCTGCTGCACACGTGCGATAAGCGGTATCCTCTTCGTCTGTCTGTTAAATCTTCTTCTATAAGTGAGACAGTACCGTTGACTCTGTGTCGTAACACCTGCATGATCTTACTCTAGTGTTGGAGAAATGCAAAGAATGTGGTTTACAAAGTTAGGGAAATTGTAGAAAGTTATGTAAACTTTACCTTAAATTTATTCCTAGATATTTAGCTGCTGAATTTTAGGATAAATAGGTGCCGAGTTTTAGGGAAATTTGTTCTATACCTTGTGCTGGAGGAATAACTGGAATATATTTTGTACACGAAAACTTTGTGAGAAAAACAGAGAACGTGGATTTCATATACACACGTATTTTTATACATTAATTTTCTATACATTCATGATCCTGCTTCTCATCATCCCCACATCCTCCTCTTGTGCTGGAAGAGTTCCTGAAATATTTTCTATATACGAAAGTTTTGTGAGAAAAGAAGAGAACGTGGTTTGTTCTACACAATCCAAGATTATATAAAGGAAAAAAATAAACTTTATCTGTATCATATGCATGATCTTGCAGCAGCCCGCCATCCCCCACATCATCATGCACTTGTGTTGGAGTACATAGAATATCATTCAAATCTACAACCTCGTGCTCTTGTGTTGGAGCAGTACTTGGAATATCTTCTGTATACGAAAACTTTGTGAGAAAAGCAAAACCAATCCAAGGTTATGTAAAGGAAAAAAAAAATAATCTTTACCTGCATTATACAAATAATCCCAACGCTTAATCCAAGCGTCCAGGTGCTCCTTGTTGATGTTTAACCAATTTCTTCTCGATCCTGTTCTGCTTTTATTTTTTTACGATGTTGACTTTTTAATGCCTTCTTCCAGTTAAAAAGTGGATGAGATTCTTTCAGTATCCTCTTCATCAAGACACCAGGATCATGGAGAATTCTCTTCTCTACGCATATAATTGATGTCAAAGACCTTTCCAAGGTAACTTGACAATTATATGGCGGAGGCAATAACTTTTCTTCCAGTCTTGCATACGGGTTGAATTCAATTTGTTTGAATATTAAATAAGAAAATAATTTAAAAGATTTAAAACCGATACCAATTCAAACCATCATTCAACTAAACAAGATCATATATCATGGATTGAACAAGATTCATCAATGTTTAACCTAAATGAAACTTGGGAGCATAAAGATCATAGCTTTCACTTACATTATCTTTCGATATCAAATCGAAATAATCAGTGAATGTGGACTCATTGAAGACTTTAATCAATCTAGAATCTTTGTGCTCCGAATATCTTTACAACGACGGAATGTTGTGTAATAAAGGTGATATTTATCTGTCGACGCTTAGTGATAAGTTTGGGAAGCTTAAATCCGGTGATCAAATAGAAAACGTAAAAATTAACTTCTATATTCAGGCAGTCATACTGTACATAATAGGGTCTGTTGTAGCTCCTTCTTCCTCTTCTACGATACCAGCATTTTATCTGGCACTTTTGGAAGACGTTGAAAAAATTAGAAGCTACGCATGGGGTGCAACAATGTTTACCCATTTGTATTGCAGCCTGGATAGATTTTTTTTTTAGAATTTTAGCAATTTCTGATCTTTTTTTTCTATCCAGGCTGCAACGAGTCCACATTCACTTACATTGTCTCGTTGCCAAGATATTTGAAGCACAAGGATTCTAGATTGATTAAAGTCTTCAACGAGTCCACATTCACTGATTATTTTGATCTGTTATCGAAAGATAATGTAAGTGAAAACTATGATCTTTATGCTTCTAAGTTTCTTTTAGGTTAAATATTGATTTATCTTGTTCAATATATGATATATGTTCTTGTTTAGTTGAATACTAGTTTGAATTGGTATTAGTTTTAAATCTTTCAAATTATTTTCTTATTTAATATTCAAACAGGTTGAATTCAGTCAGTATACAAGACTGAAAGAAGATTTATTGTCTCCGCCATATAATTTTCAAGTTGCATTGGAATGATCTTTGACATCAATTATATGCGTAGAGAAGAGAATTCTCCATAATCCTGGTGTCTTAAAAAAGAGGATACTGAAATAATCTCATCCACTTTTTAACTGGAAGAAGGCATTAAAAGTCAACATCGTAAAAAATTAAAAGCATAACAGGATCGAGAAGAAATTGGTTAAACATCAACAAGGAGCATTTGGACGCTTGGATTAAGCGTTGGGATTATTTGTATAATGCAAGTAAAGTTTATTTTTTTTCCTTTACATAACCTTGGATTGGTTTTGCTTTTCTCACAAAGTTTTCGTATACAGAAGATATTCCAGGTACTGCTCCAACACAAGAGCAAGAGGTTGTGGATTTGAATGATATTCCAGGTACTCCAACACAAGTGCAGGATGATGTGGGGGATGGTGGGCTGCTGCAAAATCATGCATATGATACAGGTAAAGTTTATTTTTTTCTTTACATAATCTTGGATTGTGTAGAATAAACCACGTTCTCTGCTTTTCTCACAAAACTTTCGTCTCTGCTTTTCTCACAAAGTTTTCGTGTACAGAATGTATTCCAGTTATTCCTCTAGCACAAGGTATAGAACAAATTTCCCTAAAACTCGGCACCTATTTATCCTAAAATTCAACAGCTAAATATTTTTATTCCTTTACATAATCTTGGATTGTGTAGAACAAACTACGTTCTCTTCTTTTCTCACAAAGCTTTCGTATATAGAAGATATTTCATGAACCCTTCTAACACAAGTGGAGGATGATGAGCAGTAAGATCATGAAGGTATAAAAAATTGATGTAAAAAAATCTGCGTGTATATGAAATCCACGTTCTCTGCTTTTCTCATAAAGTTTTCGTGTACATAATATATTCCAGGTATTCCTCCAGCACAAGATACTCCTCCAACACAAGATATGGAACAAATTTCCCTAAAATTCAACACCTATTTATCCTAAAATTCAGCAGCTAAATATCTAAGAATAAATTTAAGATAAAGTTTACATAACTTTCTACAATTTCCCTAACTTTCTGCCGCAAATCACGTTCTCTGCATTTCTCCAACACTAGAGCAAGATTATGCAGTTGCTGCGACACAGAGTCGGCGGTACCTTCTCATTTATAGAAGAAGATTTAACCAACAGACGAAGAGCACACCGTTTATCGCACGTGTGCATTTCGGGAAACAAGTATATTAACCTGAGCTATTTTATTTAATTTATTTATACCTTAGATAATTGAAATAATCTAACATATATTCAAGAATAGAAATGTGGAACTCCTTAAGGGGCTTTACATACATACAAAAGCCTCGTTACCCACGTTGATAAGTCTCGTTAGAATAAGGGTGCTTTTAAAAGCCCGATTGCCCAATTAATAATTGTTTTATGCTAGCCCTAAACCCCATTCGCTAATTGAACTTGATGTATGTGTCTAAAGTACCGTGTAACTATATAACCAAAAGCTTTGGTTTCCTAAATTTCCTTAGGTAACAGTTTATATAAAGTCAGGTAAAATGTATGTTAGGGAACTTATATGTTAACCCTTATTTCCCATTTCAGAAAATAAATATATTAACCTAAGCTATTTTTTTTAATGTTTTTATATATTAAATAGAGTTTTCCGGCTCTGGTAAACGGAATTTTCGGCTTCTGGTAAATACAGTTTTCCAGCTTTGGTAAACAAATTTTTCCGAGTCTGGTAAATAGTGTTCTCCGGCTCTGGTAAAGAGGGTTTTTGATTTTGATATTATTTTTATTTAAAGAATAATATCATCTTACACAAGAAGGTACATAGGAGTCGTCTTTTCTACAAATTAAACAATAATTTTAGAGAACTAGGTAAAATAGGAGTCATATTTTCTACAAATTAAGCAATAGTTTTAGAGATAAATTAGGAAGAAGAGTTTAACTTAAACACTAATTATAATTTGTTTATTTTAATTGGGCTTGTTGTGAGTGGAATTACAGTATGATTTGCAATTATAAATTTAACAGTGTCCAGCTTCACAAATTACTTTATGGTTAGTGTACAACTCTTATCACACAGAAAACAAATAGCTTTAATTCAATTATACAAAACAACAGAAAAACTTACCCAGATGCCAATTCCAAGAACAAACTTAGAGTGTGATCAATGACTTCCTCACTCTGAAATAAACACCAATTAAGCAAAAGTATATAACAGCACATTACATAACCAATATAAGCCAGATCGAAACAGTCACCTCCGTGTAGCACTTCAAGTTTGTAGCAGTCTTCCCAACAATCACATTTAATAGTAACAGGTGATCATGGACTCCAAGAAGCTTTGATAAACGGGCATATAACTGCTGTAACAGGGAGGTAAAGGCTCAACTTATAAACAGACCATTAAAGTTTGCAAAGAATATAAAAGATATTGGTTTTACCTTAGTTGAATGCATTGCTTGATCACCAACATAGGACTTGCGAAAATGCTGGAAGAAAGTGAGAATTGCTCGATCAAGTCTTTGTTTACTTACCTCGCCATACCTCTGCCAAATGCAAATTTGAAATAATCAATTACAAATAAGTTTATCGATTTCATGAAACATTGTCTGTAGATTAACAAGGATGTCTCAATGCATAAAAGTGAAGGCCAAAACTACTTCAATATGTATCAAGAATCTTGCAGAGCTGGGTGATAGTGAACATGATTAATGGACTATCAAGAGAAAAAAAACCAAATGTGTGATAGTATAGCATGGTGCATGGAGGAAATGAGAGTGCATTTCGTGCAAGAAAAATATAGAAGATAGATAAAATAAGGCAGGTGGTATCATACTATCCTTTGTTGGAGTGTGAAAGATCAAGAATAGCCTAGAATGATTTCTGTTAGTGGTCAAAACTATCCCTATACCTATAATCCTATCCCATAGAATTAAAATAACCTCCCCTTTTCCATAGGATTGAGTCATTCTGAGAAACCACGGTCAACAAGGATAACATGATAGTGCTACTACATTAGAAAATAACAAGCCCTACACCTTTCATCATATACTTTTGAATTAAAAAAACTCATGACAATAACCAACAATGGTGACACAAACAAAACTTTGACATAATAAATGGAGAAAGAAAATAATTCTGGCTACCATGATAAACCATCAAATCTAAAACAAACAAGAGGTTTAGAGGCACAAGTTGAATCCAAGGCCATAATGAACACTAGTGATAACATCGCTTAACACATTTGCTCTTGACAAATGCTAAATATGCATCTTACACCAATCAAACGCAACTTTCATCTCAAAATTTTAGGTAGACATACTTTGCGGATGAGAGATCAAAGGTTAACCCTAACATTCATAAAGACCATCTTCCACTACTAAGCATGGTTGGTAATCACTTCTTAGATCAGTTTCAGAGAACAGCATATAATTGGAAACTAACTGAGCTGTTTCTTGAACACGGAAACCAATATATGACGTAACCACACATCCTCTCCATGAACTACGCCTCATAGGAGCAAGATTAGACAAGCAGAACAGATTTTGCTTAAATCGAGTTTTTAATCTAATCTTGTGCAGTTGGCATCCTACAAGCTAGCAGGTAGGGTAATGCAGCTCTAGAACCAAATCAATTGCATGTTAGATGATTGCCAATCTCAAGATAACAATCCGGTCATTCTACACAACTTGCTAACTATAAGATGACAAACTCTATATCCGCTAATTACAGCTTCAAATTCCTCCTCAGATAAGAAAATATTTATGTAACTGTCAAAAAAGAAACAACAATAACAATGTTTGTTTCTGGGTTGTCATCTGTAGGAAAGGTATACACAGTATGCTTAGCCTGAAGTTCATTGTCATGACCACATTATAAAGGTTTGCTCGAGAAAATATGAGCATCTATAAGAAAAAAAATACAGATAGCATCATCATTAATATCTACTCAGGAAAATTCTAACTGTTCATGCATCACAAAGTTAGCTTATGCTCTAGTGATGAAATGGTTAAAGCCAATATTGCTATGTCATACTAGTCCAATTTATTTGCATTAGGCCCACACTTTAAAAACAAAATATGAAGTGAATGATAGAAACCCTCAATCACAAAGAAAAAAATGTTTTTAAAAAAAAGAGAGAACCAATCAGTTCCAGAAGAATTAATTCATGATGAAATCCCTAGAGGTATCATGTTAAACCTTATTTCTTCTCCCTTCCCACATTAGAACACTTAGCACTCCAACTCCTACTCATTGGTCTTCATCCTTGTTTACAGCAGGGGGATACAAGATGACAGCATCCTTCTAAACCTATCTTCCCTGTTTTAGCTTTTCTTCCTATTTTCTTCTCTCATTGAAAACCATTTCTATTTGTATACACTGTGTCACCAACAGGCAACAATCTAGAGATCCTGTCTATTGTCAACAAAGTTGTTGGCATGCCATGGAGACAAGTATTGGGTTTTCACTATCTCAAATATAGATCCCAAATCCTCTTGCTGACAAAGGTAATCAATTTTTGACAAGTCCAAGCAACAGTTTTACAATTATAAAGCTAGGAAAAAAAGTTCAACGTCAAAATCATACTACTACTTTTATATATATTAAAAATAAATATCACCAAAACCAAGCTAATGCATACCTGACTGTGCAATCCACTATCGGTAACATTTATTAACTGCAGAACACGAGCTGAGAGTTCTGCATCAAGTACTTCTAGTGACTCCATGCTGCATGAAAGAAGTAAAACATATATTGATATCCGTTAAGAAAGCAAACCAAAGAAGTAATATTTTTATCTTTGATCAAATTGTATTAATTTTCATCCAGCAGAAAAATATTATTTTCACGTTAGAATGCCACATAAGATAGGATCTGGCATGCATGTTAACATGCGCCACAATATAATGCCCATTCTAAAAGAGGTGATCATTGTTTCTTGAAAGTATAGTCAGTTGACTAGTTGACTGCTAAAAATAATTTAGAACGCTTTAATTATTGGTTCAATTTCAAGGATTAATGTACTACTAAAGTTAACAAAACAAGAATAAAAGAGCAATAGTTTCTTACCTGCAGCCAGTACATTGTTTTATCTTAAGAATGGCAGCAATAATATGAACAATCCAAGTAAGTTTAGCTTCAATAATAGAGAGCTCATTTTTATCACAGGTCTGTGATCGTGCTTTTTCCTGCAGAAAATAAATTAGAAGTATTAATTAGAATCATCATATGAAAATGTCTATCAATATCAAAATTCCAGAAACAAGGCCTCACTCATAAATGGCCCATACCCTGTACGACTGCATAATAGGCTCTGTCATAACGTTTTCCGGAGGATCCGTTAGACTTAAAAAAATAATTCGAGAAAAGGAGATGAAATATAATTTGAAAAACAATTTGATTTTAGAGTCACCACCAACCTTTAAGTTAGGGAAGTTGGAAACCTTAAAAGAATAAAAATGATATTCATTTTACCAAAAAATCATTTTAAAGAATTCGGGAATCGATTACATGTGGAGAAGGGTAAACACTCCCACAACACCCAAATTTTGGTACTTAAACTATTATACATTGATTAAATATTAAGAATTACAAACTTCGAAAATATTTAAACTATGATCCTTCTATTTATTCGAATTTATTAAAAAAGTGTGAACAATAAAATAAAATACAATAAAATAAAAATGAAAAACGATAAAAAATACCCGAAATAAATAAATGTGGAACAAAGAAAATTATCAAATATAAAACAAACATTTATGCGAAAAATCTTCGAAAAAATACATTCCCTTTAGTTGAGAGATATCTTCATAGATTTCCCTCACATTGAAATTTTCATTTTTTACATATTTTATAATAACAATGATGATTAAAAATGTTAATAATTATCTAATTATGCACATAATAAAACAAAAATAAAAAAAATAAAAAAAAATAAAAAATTTCATACAAAGAATGCTTATAACAATTACGTAATTTGTATACATACATACATACATGAAATTATAACGATCGATAAAACTAAGTTATAAATTTGGATTAAATACACATTTACAAACATGATAAACTAAAATGCAAATAAAAAATAGACATGCTTAGTAAACTAATGAACTAAATAGGAAAAACAGAAATTTAAAGGGCCAAAACAAGAAAACTAGAAACTTAAAGGACTAAAATGGTATTATCAGAAACTAAAAGGGCTAAATATTAATTACAAAATAAATAAAAGACCAAATCACAAATGCTAAATAATACAGGCACCAGAAACAAAAATAACCCATAAATACTATATAGGACTAAAATAAAATAGCCAGAAACATAAAGCACCAAATATTAATTAAACTAAAAGATAACAATATGAAACAGTGACCAAAATGTAAGTGTAACAGAATTCAAAGCTTAAAGTAAATTATGCAAAAATTCCATTGGATGACTAAAATGAAAAGAATACAAAATCAGCAGTCAAAAGCTAAACAGATAAACAAATATAATATAAAACAAATAGGACTAAAACAAAATATTAAACAGATACAGAGCCCAAAATGAAAATATAAAATTTCATTAGAATGATCAGATTACAACCATTACAGAATTAGAAGGACCTAAACTGTGATTTACTCCAAAAATGTGAAAAAAAACGGGTAAGAGATTACAAAATAACAAGGACTAAACCAGATATTAGACCCAACTCGAAAACACGCTGAATCCCTTCCCTATATGCGACGTCGTTTTACATTTCAGATATATGTTAAAACTCACACCCTAAACGGCTGAGCTTCCCATTTGTTATGTTTCCTTAAGCCCGATGAGAGAGAGAGAGAGAAAATATTCTCTCAACTCTCATCGCCTCTTCCTTCCTCCGCCGAGAAGAAACCCAGAAATAGCCAGGCGACGGCGATAGCCTCAAAATCAAAACCTTAAACCACTCTTGATCTCACCCCTCACTCTCCCTTTCTAAAAAAACAACTAATACCCCAAAACACAAACTCTCCTAAAACCCACAAGCCTAAGAACGAGAAGGTTTTACCTTCGATGGTAAATTTTCTGTACTCCGATGAGGCTCCGATCAGATGAAAGGGTAAGATTTCTGGCTTTTCTCTTTTTCTTTTATTGGATTTTTCGTTCGGTTTCTTTTTCTCTTCTTTTTCACTGGAAACCCGAATGGTTCTCTCCGTCTTTTTTTTTATCTTTGATGCATGTGTGGTTTCTGTGAGGTTTTGTGGTCCCGAGAATATAGGGTTTTATTGCCCTAGATTTCTGCTTGACAATAACAGATTACATTGGGATTTCTTGGATTTTTTATGCCATTTTCTCTGTTTTTCACTGTGGAAGGACTGATGGTGTACTTTCAATCACTGTAGGTGATAACGTTGGGCAGGAAACATTCGGCGGCCGGCTCACGCGACTCGGGAATGGAGCGGTGATGTGCACTCGCCGATTGAGGAAGCTAGAATATGGAAGGCGGCTGCTGCTTTAGGGTTTTGAAACCCTAATTATTTGGGTTGCTATTTTGGGCCAATTCGGGTCTCGAGTTGAATCCGGGGTTGCTGGGCCAGTTCGAGTTTGGAGATTGCTGGGTTTGCTGAGCTGGGTCTCCACTTGGGCTTGAGTGATTGGGGCTCTGGGTGAGGGCTGTTTTGCAAGGCCTGATGGGTTAAGGTATGCTGGGCCAGTTCGGGTTGATTGTAAATTGGGCCTGCAAAATGTAATGGATAAATAATAATTAATAATAACTATAATAATAATAATAACTAATAATAGTATTAATAATTAAATAATAAAAAAAGACCCTGATAATAATGGGTGTGTACAGTCATGTTTATTATATACAAGCCACTGCTTTCATACTGTATTCAAGGAAATAAAGGAATCAGGAAGCAATTAAAAATTCATATTTATAGCATATAAAAGCTCATTTCAAAAGCTCGGGCACCGAAAGTTTCTGTCCCTCTGATCTTTCACATATCACAGTTGACGAGCATGAGTTTTCTATGATGTAATAATGCCCTTTGACTTGTTTTATTTTTCTTGTTTAGAAATTCTGGAAAAAAAATTCCGACAACAGAAACTTAATGGTTCTTAAATTGTTAAAAGGGAAGCTGAAAGGAGAAAAGAGAAGGCATAAATTCTAAAATATGATATTAATTTGGAAACATATGAAAAAGGAAAGACATGCAAAACAGAGAAAAGGGAAACCAAGTTACATGATACCTGCACAGAGTTGAATCTTGATGTGAGAAAACTCTCGGTGATCTTAGGAACGAATTCATCCAACAAACTTGGAGCATCGTCCTTCAAATAGGGAACAGACGAAACCAATCTGGACCATAGCCCCAATAGGTACAAAAGCATAAACTCAATTAAGATCATGTTGCAGAAGGTATTGAGAAAAATAAATAAATGGTTCCAGGTTCTCCAACAAATAGTTCACATGTAATGGGTCAAGGTCAGAGAAAAATAATTTACAGCCAGTTGGAGCCCACATTAAGCCATATAAGATCATAAGTTATTTTCCTGAATACATAAAATTTCAAATATCAATCAATCTGCCAGGACTGCAAAGACTTCAAAGTGAATTCAGCCACCAAACGTATCCAATCACTGTAGCCTTGCACATTCACTAACTCTGACAACTGTGAATTTAAAATTTTGTAAACATTAGCGGTAATTCTTGTAGCTGCAAAACCAGGAATCAAATTCATTTACAAGCAGCAACAAAAATACATGATCTGTAAGCATCTCAGAAAGTGATAAAACCAGCAAACAGTTCAATTGTTCAAAATCAGATAAAAGACAACACAAAAAAAAAAACAAGGCAAAACGGTCAACTATTGCACATATCAAAATCACAAACTATAATAACAGGGAAAATTGAATTGCGTCAAGACTGTTCACAAAAATTTCTGCAACTGTATGGCATATAACTGTGTGCCTCAATGCCCAACAACATGCATGAAGGATACCACTCCGGGACATACATTGACTTGCACAAAATCAGGCAACAAAGTGCATACAAGTTAACTGAACTAAAAAGATCAAATTGCAAAGATACAGCTTGACAAACACAGGCAGCTACACGATGACCACATGAAAAAATAAAATTTCACCTAACATAAAAAGAAACGTGATTACTTCCAGTTTTCACACTTAGAACCTATTAAAGTTACCTGATAATTCACCCTAAAACGTCCAAGAAGTCGACAGTATTCATGGTAATTATCATGATCAGCAAGACCTGATATCCAGCACAGACATTATTTGCAAATACTGAAGGAAAAAGATTAAAGAGGAAAAAAATCCTGAACTTTACACAAAACAAATTATGCAAGAACTCTGTTCTGTTTCAAAGAACAGTTTTGCTCGGGAGTTAAACTACAGGAGCACCCTTCTCAAAAATGAACACAACAAGTAACTATTATTACTTGATTATCCATGAATAATATTACAAGCAAGCAACATAACAAGATCACTAACAAATTCCACCACAAATAAACAACTAACAACAGAAGTCTTACACAAGTTATTTTAGTATAGAGGTGTTACCAAGATCTGCGAGTAGATAAATCAAACCTCATTCGAGTACTTTTCCCAAAGTCATACCCTACAAGTAATGCTGTGATTAATAACCTAGGCCCACGGAGAAACATTTTATAAATCAAAATTGAAACATAAGAGAAAAAATTGTAAACTTGGATTTAAGAGAAATTAAGGCAAAAGGCAGTTCAAACAGATTCATGAGCTTCTCTTTGAAAGCTATGCCTAAGGAATACTTTCTCATAAATTGACCTAATAGCCACAATAGAACCCTGAAAAACATATGGAAGCGTAATATTTCTTACGTTATAGATACATCATAACTTGAGGAAAGTACATATATATTCCACAATCCCAGGAATAAATAAACAGAAAAGAAAACTATTGAATAATCCAGGAAGGCAAACGACCACATAAGACGTAATACAAAGGATTCAAATAGAAGACAAAAAAAGCATGCTTTATATGACAGACAAAACAACCATGTAATTAAAACTTTAACAGTAATTGCCTACAAAAGTAAGTACCACATAGTAATTAAAAAAACTAGTAGTAATAGCATACAATCCCATGCTACCTTGTCCTGATTGGAGAATTTCTTTCGTTCCTGTCATTAAATGAACCAAAAACTTGGACCGGGCAGCATCATTTACAAATAAAGAACGTCTAACGGATGCTAATCTTACCAAGCATTCCAGAGCCTGAAAAGAAATTATCAATTTGACTATGGGAGATACCTTAATAATCTGAATAATCAGCAAGGAAAAATCAATATGATGAAGATATAATTAGTTGAATTTACAACTTCCAGTAGGAAAATATCTTTTATCATATCAAAGCAGAACTAACACCGAGTATGGTTAGTGAGAACTTCTACAAGAAAAATGAAGCATCATACCCATATGTGAAGTCTCATGTGTAACTTGAAAACAAAATTATAATTTCAAATTTTAATTTAGCTACTAATTTTTGGTTTACAAAGGATTCTGATACTAAATTCAACCTGATAAGTTACAAGAATTTCAAAACAGTACAGTAGGTAACTAACCTCCTTTAAAAGAGGAGGTTTAGTAATTGAATAGTAATCAAAAAAATATCCGAAGTGTTGAAGAATCCTCCAGTAATGGCCTCCAAGATGATGGAATATGTAAAGTTGCCACCATAAACTTGGTTAATTACAAAAAGTACCCAATGAGAGACTCTCAAACAACATAGAGTAAAGAAATGCACAGTAGAGAAAATGTTCCATCAATACCTGAACAGTACCAAACTCTTCAGAACTTTCATCAATTGATGCCCAACAAAATCAAAGGACAAACATTTATGTACAAGAGAAAGTGCCAGCTCTTGCAATCGACTTGAAACTACATATTTCATATCAAATTAAAATCAGAAACAAATTACAGTGTTTCAATTTGGAAGAGGTTGATTTGTTCCAAATATAATCAGGACACTAATCTGATTTCTTTCTCTAAAAAATTTCCTACAAATGCTTCTTGGATTTCATTTGGAAATCGGTGGTTAATAATCATTTTAAAGAGGATGAGTTTGGTGCCAAGATTCGTAGCATGTTCCAAGTCAAAGTGGGTAATGAGTTTAATTCATCGGGTTGGTCTTGGTTTGTCCAGTTGAGAAGGAATCTATGTGATTGGGAGTTAGAACAGTTTTCTAATCTTCTTGCCATCATTCATAATTTCAGCCTATCCCACGAGTCAAGAGATGGTCTGCTTTGGAGAGGGAATGGGGAAGGCATTTTACTATTAACTCTTGTATGAAGACTTGTTTTGTTGAATCGGTAAAAGATAGTTTCTGGGAGAAATGTCTTTGGAAGGGATTGATGCCTCCTAAAATTGAAACCTTTATGTGGCAAGTAGCCTATAAAAAATTGGCAGTTAAGTTTGAGCTTCAAAAAAGAGGGGTTTCGGGGATTGTTGATGTTTCTTGTCCTTTGTGTAAAAGAGAGATTGAATCTATTCCTCATCTATTTTTCTCTTGCACGGCGGCATGGTCCCTATGGAATAAGTTTTTGAATTTTTGGAATATTAGTTCGGTCCTTCATGGAAATGCACAAGGTTTTCTGCTTGCTTGGAATGACATGATGTTTTCTTCTTCTATTGGTCCTTAATTCCTGGGGTGGTGCTTGGACCATTTGGAAATTTAGGAATGTCGTGGTGTTTGAAGGAAGGTCCTTGGATCACATTGAGTTATATTTTCATGGCTAGGCTAAGGCTTGCTTATTGGTTCTTAGCTAAGTTCAATGAGGTTACTATTTCTAAAGATTCCCTGATAAGTGACCCTTCTATTGCAGATTTTTGGTCTTCTTCCAGAAATTCGGCTACTAATATTGTGTCCTGGATTCCTCCTCCAAAGGGTTATCTAAAACTGAATGTAGATGCAGCAGTTTGCAATGATTGGCGAAAGAGTGGTGTGGGTGGTTTACTAAGAGATGAGGCTGGTAAGATTTTGGGTTCTTTTAAAGAATCTGCAGATCCTGGACCTCCAACTTTGCTGGAGCTTGTTGCCATCAAGAGGGGTGTACTCTTCTTTGAGCATGACCTTTAGAGGTTTAAGAATCGGTGGATTGTTGAATCTGATAGCAAGCTTGCTGTGGATTGGGTTAAGAATTTAGATAGTTGTCCTAGTGTTTTCCTTCATATTGTTAAAGATATTGTTGACATGATAAGAATTTGGGAAGGAGCTATCAAATGGATTGACAGAACGGCAAACATAGAAGCCGATAGCTTAGCTAAGGCTGGTATTGGATAGTTATTGTTTGATGGGTTGGGATTTGTTTTATTGAGCGTAAGAGGTGTTCTTGTTGTGTTTCGAGTTTTTTGTAAGGGGCTTGTTAGTTTTTAAACATTATGTATTCTTCTACTTATTAATGAATTATGATGCACTCTTTTCCTCCTTCCGCTGATTAAGGAACACCAATCGGTGTTCCGTTAATCATGAAGGGGTTTTTAACGAGGCCTTAACTTCCTATCAAAAAAAAAAGAAACAAAAACTCACAAGAAAAAAATATGAATAGAACAAGAATAGAGTGTCAAGGAAAAGGAAGGAATCCAAAAACATGTGAGCAAATATAGAATGTTACCATCACTTTGCAGGTGGCGCAATGATGTTAAAGACGTTTGGAATATTTGAAAAAGTGACTGATCCCTGAACGAACAAGCAACCCTTCGATGATGTGTGGATGGCAACCCAGGATTAGGCTGACAATTAAGGTTTCAGAATATGAACAAACTCATCAAAAAATGAATGCAAGCACACGAATAAAATATTGTAAATTGAAAAGAAAAAGGAAAACAACAGTGTAAAAAGGAAACTGTACCCAGTTCCAGATCACAGGTGAAGATGAGGTAACCTAGGTATCACTAAGCAAGATACAACCCAAAAAAAGGCATTTATAATTTATTTTTTTGGGGGGGGGTAATACTGGATAAGCTTATCTAAAGTTTTTTTCTAACGTTATTTCCTATTAAAGGAACTGGAGGCTGTGGTGTACTATAAAGTACAGATCAATGACCTTTTCCTAAGTACTCTGAAATATTATATAATACTAAATTCTTGAAATGTGTCGAAAAAAAGAGACAACTACAAGTGCCTTCTGCCGCATAAGAATGCTTCAGGTAAAAATTCCTTGTTTAAGTGTTCACTATTTGATGTTTGATTCAAGTTTAGTAGTTGTTTGTCAACTTCGAATGCAAATTAAGAATGCACCCAGAAAAAAATTGCTTTGAAAAAGGAATATCAGTAAATTTACATTTCAAGACGTACATGAGAAATCAAAGGACAAATAGCCAACAAATGCAACCTTGCTCAAGATTTCTAGCTATCAAAAGCACAAGTGGATAAAAATTTGCCTGATCAAGGACAAGCAGCACATTATATCCATAATTTAAGATAATCAACATTATATATCTCCATTCTCCATATGAATCCTTTGAAGTAACATATTGACATAACAATTTTCATTCCATCTACTGTCAGAAACAAAAATAAAATTAAAAATGAAAACCATAACTTACCTGGTTCATCTCAGAGACGAGTTGATTCAGTATCTTCAAACCAATGGCATAATGTTCTGAAGTTCCCTGATAAAACAAAGCACGAATAAGAAAGAAATGTCGGCAAACTTTACAAACTAACAATGAGGAAAGCAAGTCATTCTAAACAGCACAACATTCATATGAGATATTGAATAAGTTGAATGATTCAGGACGCTGATCTGAACAAGCAGCAATGTTCGCACATAACAGACAAGTTAAAAACATGTACATTGACTACAAGTAGCATATTGCAGTAAGCAAATCAAACCAAGACAATTATGCCATGCACAAAGAAAATGCATAGCAGGTTCAACATTGGAATTCAAATTTCCAAGGCAAGCGGGCTAAAACCAAGACTTCTCAATCACACATATAACATACTGCATGTATCAGTGTGCCAATACAATCCACTGCATTAAACAAAAAACAACAACATTAAAGCTTAAACAAATACGCTGTGATGTACACATGTGCATGCCATAATGTACTTGATTGTTACTTTTAATACATTAATCTTTGCTTCTGGAATAACTTAAATGTTTATAACAAAATGCATGATTTTCCTCTAGCAATATAAAACAATTTCATCAGGAATGTACTTGATTGTTACTTTTATTACATTACTCTTTGCTTCCGGAATAACTTAAATGTCTTTAACAAAATCCATGATTTCCTCTGGCAATATAAAACAATTTCATCAACAGTAGTGTCAAATTATAATCATTTATCATAATATCGATTTCTCCCTTTTGCTTTAAACTTATAGCAATCTTTGTTAAAAGTAAAACTAAAAGGAGAGTCTAAAACACAGAAAAATCACTGGCTCAAGAAACTAGTTGACTCTTTAACCACGTCACGGAATCTTTCATCATCGAACCATCCAAATTTCGTCACCCGGCATAACAATTGAATCAAAGATGCAGTGACAAACGGCTGCAATTTCGGCCTCTAGTCGCCAAATAGTTTAAAATATAACTCCCTACAAAATTAATACAAAAATAATAATAAATCAAATCTCGTTTTAGAGAAAAACAAACTGAAAAAAAATGAAAGTGAAAGAAACACTCAACATACAAATATCGAGGCGAAGATTCAAATAAAACTAACATTTCTTATGCACATCAATATTTTATCAGATCAATATGTCTGTAAAATCCTCTAATTTAACTTTCATATTCAAATCTTGTTTTTTTATAACATAAGGGTATTTTCGTAATTTTACACTACCAGAGTATTCTCATAATTTCTCATCCAAGTACCTTTAACATTTAACCTTTGATGAAATAAACTATAAGTTGCAGATACAGGGCTGATTTCTTTATCACTAATCACAAACTTGTAATTTAATCTAACAATTCCTCAATCTCTTATATTAGTCATTCGATCCGTAATCAGTTACAGAATTTCTACCACATCATATCAAGTGTATAAATTATTCAACTCCACCAAAGTGACCAACATTATCTTGTTCATGCATTTATCAATATAAACATGTTTCATAAAGCATAAAGAGGTAGTAAAGTATTACCTCGATTTCTGTGCAATACTAATCGACAATAAAAATTCCATTCGAACACCTTTGATCTTCAATTCAACTTCCAATATTTCCTCGGATCCATATAAACAGAAATTACATCAAAAACGGAGCTTAATTCTGAAAAACGGATCGAATCGGATGATAAATCAGTCAAAAACAGCTTACCGGGTTCGAATTTGGCAAAAGCGACTTCGGATTCGGATTCAGGACATCGAAAGCATAAAATATGGCTTTTCGAAAATTTGGAATTTTCGGTCAAAATCAAAGTCAACGGGTTTGACTGGAAATTTCGAGGCCTTCGGGTTCGAATTTCGAGAAACGAACTACGGAATCGGATTTGGAACGTCGAAAAATGTCAGGATAGGTATACTCGGTCGAAGTCAAAGGTCGTTTAATGCCCGTTCAAAGCCGGTCAAAGTTTTGGTCAATAGTGGTCAACGCCGGTCAACGGGTCCATGGTCAACGGGAAGGGTCAACAGGTCGGGTCGGGTCAACGGGTCGGGTTATGACCGGTCAAACCGGTCAACTATGCACCAAAACTGGTCAAACTGGTCATTTGGA